TGACCTTGGCATACCGGGAGGACACTCCCACCAACTGAGCTACCCACCCAGGGCTTAACTGGTTTTTAGAGAGAGAGGAGGGAAGAGGGGAAGGGAGAGGTAAAGAGAGAGAAATATTTGTGTGAGAGCAAAACATGGATTGGCTGAATCCTGCATGCCCCCTCCCCGGGAAGGAGCCTGCAACCCGGGCATGTGCCTTGACCAGGAAATGAGCTGGCAGCCTTTTGATGCACAACCAACTGAGCCACACCCACCAAAGCCAGCCCTGCACTTTTCATGGTACGGGGTGGGGAATCAAGACAAGATGTCCTTCTCCTCACAACCATGGAAAGGGATGGGGAACAAGAGCCTCAGGAGCTGGGTGAGGAGATAAGACTAGAATGCTGAGCACTGAGTAAGCACCGATGGGGGTGGGGAAAGGCTGGACAGTCCTTTAGGGTGAATCCATCAGAAAAGAGGGCTGGGTAGGCAGTGGGGTGGTACCTGACCAAACCCTGTGGGCTTCTGGGAACATTCTGGAGCAAGGAGGCTGGTGTAGACATCAAGGGGTCCCAGGTGCTTGGGACTGACACAGTGATCCTCCAGGAACTACAGAGTGAGTTCCTTCCCCCAAAGGGGATGCTTATTTTGTGGAACCCAAAGACCCCAGAAGAAATTACCTTCCAGAAACCATGACAGCAAAGAACAGATGCCCCTCCCACTTCATGACCTGCCCAGGTTGGAGGTGCGGGGGGCAGCCTTGGGACAACTTTGATGCTTCCCCACCTCTAAGGCTGTCCCATGAACCACCCCCTGCCACCTGGCCCCAGGCTTCCCCCTAACCATCCCCTCCTGATAGTCATGTGCCCCTCAGAACTGCCAGGTCAGGGAAACCCAGAGGGAAACAGGCGAGCCCAGATGGTGGCCTAAGAGACAACAAGGCCGAGTCAGAGCAGGATGGAGGCCATAGAACTCGCCCAACCCCTCCATGAGCCTCACCCCACCCTTGCTTGGACCCCTCCCCCTGAAACCAACAACAGATGGGTCTGGGTGCCAGTCAGTCCTTGAATCAATTATTAAGCAGAGACAGGGTTGAATCCTATGAATATTTATTAGGATAGATTGTTGGCCAAATGGGAGAGAGCGCCTCTGGGACTAGGTTGTTATCTTTCCAAGATGACAGGAAACTCTCAGAAAAGAAGCATGAACTGCATTCTGAGGTTAATCCCCATGTCCCTGGGTGTACAACTCTCAGCCAGGTTAGAATGTGCTTTCCCTAATAGGAAGAGAACAGTCACAGTTAACAGACAGGGTTAATAGGATAACACAGCTGGTCCCCACTGTTGTATTTCTGCCCCACAGCTCCTCACTGAGGTTCCTCTCTCTCCAGCCCCCAGCCCCCTCCCCGCAGGCAGGCCACCACCCCAGCCCCTGACTGTCCCTAACTCCTCCCATCCCTCTCCAGCCCCCTCCTCACTGGCAGGCTTCCTGGGACCTCAGACCAGCAGAGCCTGGAGACTAAGTGTCAGGAGCACAGCGGCCACAGAGAGACGGAGGGTGATTCCAGAGTCGGGGGGGCACTTGGCAGAGACCAAGGCCTCATTCTCTTTTCTGAGGTGGAGATGGAGACAACTCAGGAGGCTGCCAGGTCTGGCTGCACTGGTGCTGGGTTCGAAGCCCCTCAAAATCTCTTCTCCTTCCCCACCAGGTCACTGGGCAGGGGAGTGGCCGGTTGCCACCCAGAGTTGGGTGACTGGAGGGACCAGGCTGGGACTGCAATTCTGTCCCCAGGACAATGGGAATTTTCAGAACCAAGGGGATCCTAGGTCTTGGGGTTGGAAGGAGGAAGGGGCGTGGCCTGGGTGGGTGGGTGTCCTGACCTTAGTTGCTCCAGCTCTGAGGATTTCTCCTGCAGCTCCTGATTCAATGTCTTGATTTCCTCTAATGAAAGACACAGAGTATATGGGCACTGTAGCCACATCCCTCAACTAGCCCCACCTAGAGACAGGACCCCGCCTCCATTGAGTTAGTGCACTTTGGGAGTCTGGCATGCCCGCCCCTTCCTACTTCCATTGGCTTTGGTCCTGTCCCTCACGCCGGACCCCAATCCTGAGGCCCTCCCCCTCCCTCCTCTTCAATACCTGACCTGCTCCTGCAAACTCCCTGACTGCAACCGGGGCCTGTGCTTTCCTCACCTTGAAGCTTCTGCACCAGCTCCTGTTGCTTGCGGCCCCCAGCCTTCTCCTTTTGCAGGGCAATCATCAGTGTCGCCTGGGATGCCTGGGAAGAGTAAGGGAGTTGGAAACTGATGGGGTCAGGGCTGTTCCTGCCGCCCTCCCCTGCCCCCCAGGCTGTGCTCCATGAGGTGGGTGATGTTTCCACACTTCTGCTCAGCTCAGAGGCCATCTTTGCAAGCTTGGCTATTGGAATTGACAGCCCAAACGACTTCTGCCACAGACAGACCTACCACCACTACCACCAGTAGGAACAGCAGGATCCCCACCCACACTGGCAGCTTGCGGTCCCTCAGCTTCTTTGGGAACTCATCCATGGGCACACAGGAGTAGCAGTAAGAAGTGGGTGCCATCCAGAGGGACGCAGGGGAGCCCCGGAGGGAGTCAGGAAAGGGAGCTGGAACTTTGTACTTGCTGGAGCTGCCCCCTTATTAGCATGGGATCTATGCTGACCAATGAAAAGGTCCAAAACGGAGCATCTGCAGGTGGAGGACAGTTTAGCTTTCATTTTCATTTCCCAGAAATGAGGTGTATTACTGCCACCAAATTATGGGCTTGGCCCTTCTGGGCTGGGTGCTGGCCCATGAGCTCCTGTGGGAGAGGACACCCCATCGTAAGTCCCTGCCCTTCTCCTGTGTTCCTGAAGGTGACAGCTGCAGTGACAGGAAGCCTAGGGCAGGGGTGGGCAACCCCTGGCACGCATGCCAAACGTGGCACGCCAGTAACTTTTTTTTTTGTCTCGTCAAAACAGACTTTATTGGGGCGCCGGGGCTGCCTTGCACGCGCCTC